CATGCATGAACATAAACGTGTCCAACTAAGAAGCCACATGTTAGAGGGCATCTTCACCCGAAGCAGATCAAACTAATTACCTCTAGATAGTTGGGTGAGGCAGAGGCGTTGGAGGAGAGGACTCACAGGGTGTGCTGATTGGCATGACGCAATTTAATGTGTATATGGCACAAAAACAATTATTAAGCAACATCAGTAAGAAAAGTGAGCATCTAAACAAATCTCAGTATTGCAAAATTATTGTAAGCAGATCCACATCATGTGCATGTATATAGTCTCATACACAACCTACCCGCAGTCTATTGTTTGGGTCATCCTAGAGAAATCTAGGATTGTAGGAAACACAAAATAATGTACCTGTAGTTTGAAATCTTTGTCGAGTTTTGCAGATTTGGCCTGCCCGAGCCTTATAACTGAAGCAACACATAAAGGATGTTTATAATGAAACAATATTAGTTATAGGACTATAGGCAACACAAAGTAATCTACCTGTACTTTGAAATCTTCACTGAACTTTGCAGGTTTGATTTGCCCAAGCCTAATAACTGAATGAAGACATAGAGGTCATTGCTCCAGGGTCTTCTCAGATTCAATTCGAATAGAGAAGAAGTGAAAGTGCAACTATCCCTGGGTGGTTTTGGTAATTCCTGACAACATATAGCTCATTGAGCTAACATTATTCCAAGATTAATATTTCAGAAAAAGCTCAATGAATGGCATGGCATGGATGAGGAAAGTGGATCCCTCAAAATTCTAAGGACAAAAAGTTTGGCTCAAGCTTCAAGATCAAGACTCTACATTTTACATTTTAGTGATCCAAGATCACATTCAGTCTATAGAAAAAGCCAATACTATCAAGGAGGGATGAGGTGTTGCTTAATGGCTTGCTTGCTCAAAGTGCTTAGTGATATGCTCCAAAACCCTCAACTACCTTCCCACATCCACATATGACCTAAACCAAAAGTCAAACTCGGCCCCACCGATTCTATCTATCCGGCGCCACCGAGTTTCAAATGTCATAGCCACTGCCACAAACCCTAGCAATTCGGTTTCACCGATAGGGATCTCGGTCTCACCGAGATGGGATTGTAATCTCTCTGTTTCCCTTCGTAATGTTTCGGTCTTACCGAGATGAGCGATCGGTCCCACCGAGATTGCAATGTAAACTCTCTGTTTCCCTTTTGTAACATTCCGGTCTCACCGAGATGAGCGAATCGGTCCCACCGAGTTTACCTGACCAACTCTCTGGTTAGTTTATTACCAAAATCGGTCCCACCGAGTTTGTGTAATCGGTCACACCGAGATTACGTTATGCCCTAACCCTAACCATATCGGTCCTACCGAGTTGCATCTCAATCCCACCGAAAATCCTAACGGTCACTAGGTTTGCTAAATCGGTCCGACCGAGTTTAACCATTCGGTCCCACCGAGTTTGGCAAATTGTGTGTAACGGTTAGATTCTGTGTGGAGGCTATATATACCCCTCCACCCACTCTTCATTCGTGGAGAGAGCCATCAGAACATACCTAGACTTCCAATACACATTTTCTAAGAGAGAACCACCTACATTTGTGTTGAGGTCAAGATATTCCATTCCAACCATATGAATCTTGATCACTAGCCTTCCCCAAGTTGCTTTCCACTCAAATCTTCTTTCCATCAAATCCAAATCCTGTGAGAGAGAGTTGAGTGTTGGGGAGACTATCATTTGAAGCACAAGAGCAAGGAGTTCATCATCAACACACCATTTGTTACTTCTTGGAGAGTGGTGTCTCCTAGATTGGCTAGGTGTCACTTGGAAGCCTCCGACTAGATTGTGGAGTTGAACCAAGGAGTTTGTAAGGGCAAGGAGATCGCCTACTTCGTGAAGATCTACCGCTAGTGAGGCAAGTCCTTCATGGGCGACGGCCATGATGGAATAGACAAGGTTGCTTCTTCGTGGACCCTTCGTGGGTGGAGCCCTCCGTGGACTCACGCAACCGTTACCCTCCGTCGGTTGAAGTCTCCATCAACGTGGATGTACGATAGCACCACCTATCGGAACCACGACAAAAACGTCCGTGTCTCCAATTGCGTTTGAATCCTCCAAACCATTCCCTTTACATTCTTGCAAGTTGCATGCTTTACTTTCCGCTGCTCATATACTCTTTTTGCATGCTTGCTTGAATTGTGTGGAGATTGCTTGACTTGTGCTAAGATAGCTAAAATCTGCCAAGAACTAAAATTGGGAAAAGGCTAGATTTTTATTTGGTCAAGTAGTCTAATCACCCCCCCTCTAGACATACTTTCGATCCTACAAGAAGCTTAACTGATGAATTCATAGAAATAATCTTATTTTCAGAGGTACCAGAAAGCACAAAGAAATCTGGACGTTGCCAACCAACACCATCTTCAATGAAGACATAGAGGTCAGATGAAATCATGCAAAGGGATCCAATCAAACGATCATTAAAGGATCAACCAAATGTGAGCACCTCTCCGTCAGGAAAATAGGGCCAAAAGAAATATGGACGTTGCCGATCAACACCATCTTCAATCGCATGAGTTAAAACTGCAGTTGTAGTTATAGCCACTGAAAACAGTAGGGGCAGGCCAAGTCAGGCCTAGCCGCACTCTCGTCGCCGACCATGTCTAGCTTGTCCATCCCCGCCCAATCTACGAACGCAAGAACCGACAAATTAATCAATCAGCCACGAAACCCGGCGCAGAGCGATTCGATCCAATCGATGGATCCTGGGAGGGAGGGAGGGTACCGGCGTGGCCGAGCTCCGAGTCCATTTAGATATATAGGTAGGGCAGCCTCTCGCGTGCGCCGCTCGTCCCTCCTCAGCCTCTGGCCCTCTCATCCGCTTCTCGGCTTGTCCCGGTGGATGAGAGGAGACAGGGAGGGTGAGGAGGGGAGGCCGGAGCTTCTCTCGGTGGCGGCCGCTTCCATCCCACGCAAGTGCCGGCTCTTGCGGCCGAGAGGGCACGTTGGTGCCGGTGCTTGCAGTTAAGAGGGGCGAACAGATGGGAGGAGGGGGATGAGAAGAGACGAGGGAGAGAGAGATGGGCTGGCGAGAGAGATATTTGTGCGCTCGCTCGCTTCACGCGCGGGACGCAAAGGGCCACACGACCGGGCCCAGGCGACATCGACATAAGCTAGGGAGGGAGTGATGTGAAAATGCAAAGGGTGGACGCGTGGATGGCCTGAGAATGCCTACCACCCTTTCATCATTTATATGTTCAATAAAAGCATCACGAATTGGATTCTCTTTTGTCTTTGTTGCAGGATTTCTAGCCGTCACTGAATGCCTGCTTCCTCAAAGAAGGCCAGTAGTTATCCTCCAAGCTCGCCTGTGACCTGACTATGATTGAAGTTGGCAATGACACCTATGATAGGACCATTTGGACCTCAAGGTTCCTAACCGTTTCAAAATATTTGCATGGCTTCTATTCAGGGACCACCTCAACTCCAAGGCAAACCTCCTTCACAAGCACATCTCCCCGGACGCCATCTGCTCGAGATGTGATCACGAATGCGAAAAGGTCATGCATATCTTAATACTATGCCTTCTTGCCAACATAATTTGGCAGCGAATTGGTATCCTACCCCCAACTCCACCACCACCTCTAGGATTGCATGATGCCAACCGGTCTTGATCATCATATATAGCTAACAACCCTACTCACCATCCATTGGAAGATATGGGCATGCAAGAATGAAATGACCTTTCAAAATGAAGATCGCCATAGCCCGGTAGTACTTCGACCAATCATTGAAGACCTCACACTGTGAATGCACGGTGGAACGATGGAATGAGGCATGTAGTAAAATATTCATGTGGGGGAGCTACCCCACTCCCCGAGTATGAGTTCTCCCTAGACCAGGATTTACTAAGTTTCTGGGCGGAGGACTTGGCCGGCCTCGAGGCCCCTTTCGGGAGGAGGAGGTGATGTGATAGTTGCCGTGTGGGAAGGCGTCAGACCATATGGTTTCATGGCGGAGTTCCTCAAGCCTCACTTGAGGGAGGGGGGGTGTGAAGGCTGACATAATGAATGACCATGGCTTCCAAGGCCTTAACTAGACGCTCCTCACCCTCCTCCCAAAGAAACTAGATGTTGCCTCCAAGATTGACTACCGCCTCATTAGGCACATCCACATCTTTGTCAAACCAGCGGCCAAATCCCTTGCTACAAAGGGAGGCATCGTGATTGGGATCTCTTGTGCAGTTGAACCAATGCACATTCATCAAAAAGCATTGCATCCATGACTACTTCATGATGGTGCAACATATCAGGTAGTTACATTCACATGCTCGAGGAGCCACATGTGATGCTTAAGAGAAACATCGTGCATGTCCTTACTTTGTGATATACTCCTTCCGTTTCTAAATATTTGTATTTCTAGGGATTTCAACAAATGACTACATACAAAACAAAATGAGTGAATCTACACTCTAAAATATGTCTATATACATTCGTATGTAGTAGTCCATTTGAAATCTCTAAAAAGAAAAATATTTAGAAATGGAGGGAGTAGCACCAAAAGCAATGTATGACAAGCTGACGACCACCATCAAGGACAACCTCATGATCTCCACGACGCAAGACAAACATTTCGACCACGCTCCTTTTTTTTAGGGATTTTCGACCACGCTCCTCCTCCCGCGTATCCAAGCCCATCTGCCAGCAGCGTATTGGGCCCATTTCGTAGTCCCTTTTTTCCCAACCATTTCGTAGTACCTTAGGAATGTCGTTACCTCACAGCCCTTTTAGAGGCGATGGAGCTCGTCCATCACTCGGCTCGGGCAAGTCGACGCGTCAAAACTAATAAAAAAGCGTGCGCGGATCCAGCCATGCAAAAGCAAGCGTGATCACAGCCATCTCCACCAATCGCACGTTAGTGCACGCGCAAAACTCGCCCCCAAATTCACAGCGATAGAATTTGGATCGAGGATCCTACACACGAAGAAAACAATCCCCTCCCCGATCGCGATCCAGGCGACTCACAGGAGAAAATGGGGTTCTTCTCGGGGATCATGCTTGGATTCATCCTCGGCGTCGCCCTCATCGCCGGCTGGGCGCGCGCCATGGCTCGCCGCGCCCACAAACGCAGCGCCAAGGCAAGTGCGCCTGCCCGGATGCTCTACATTGATCACTGCATTCATGCGATGTTTGGTTTGCGTTGCGCCATTGTCGATGATCATTTTCGCATCGACTCGTAGATATATGTTCAGGTAGGAGCCTGAGTTGATCCGCTACAAGGATTCAGGCTCACAGACGTTTTCTCAGGCTCATCGTTGATTATTTGCGTTCTGAAAGCGGTTTCTGCGCCTGACGCCCCGACTTTGGGAATGAAATTTGGCTCAAGCCTGAGTTTCTGACGGCAATGCGCCGGAGTAGATTGGTCCTGGGAACTCCTTTCAGTTCAAGTTCTGTTTTTACACTGTTTTTGAAATGAAGCTGCAAGTGGAAGTTTTGTTTCGTGATAATTACTGTAGTTTGAGACAAACAAAATTCGTTTTGAAACAGGCTGCCGATGTCAATGTGCTAGGATCTCTCAACCGTGAGGATCTGAAGAAAATATGCGGAGAAAATCTCCCTCAATGGATTTCATTCCCGGAGTATGACCAGGTGAAATGCTACTTACTGTTGTGTTACTATGGCTCTTTCCACATTCCCGATTAATCATAATATGTAAAATATGCACAAGAACAAGCTATGCCACTCTAGTCTTTTACTAGACGTGAGCGCATTCGAGTTCAGACCAGATAAGTCATCAAATTCCTAATTTTAAGAAATTCAAAACATTAGGACAAAATTACCCCAGTATCATTGCAAATAGGTGTAAGCTGAGGAAAAAAAATCTGATATGAGGATGACATTTTCCAACTCAGTTATCCTTGTGGTGGTACCAAGTACCAATGATTTCCTTGCATAATGAGTATGCTCACCTGTTATTTTGCTTGCTTTCGTACTTTAACGTTTCGGTTCCGTTCTTCAGGTTAAATGGCTCAACAGACAATTGAGCAAGCTTTGGCCTTTTGTTGAAGAGGTACACATAATTAACCTCCTGTGTTCTTCCAGTTTTTCTCGGCAGGAGGGCCCTCCCATTCGTTTAGACAAAAAAAAGGGTTTATCTATAGAGTTAACGAGTTTTTGAAGTATGAGCCCATGAACTACTTATTGCTCTGTTGTTGTTGACATCTGCTCTAATGTACAGTTGTTTTTGGTTACAGGCAGCAACCATGGTCATCAGGGACTCCGTGGAGCCTATACTCGACGTTTATCGACCGGTGGGGATATCCGCACTCAAGTTCAGCAGACTCTCACTAGGCACCGTGCCACCTAAAATTGAAGGTTGCCAGGACAACGTGGCATTAATTCTACAGTATTAAGTGGTAGATAATCTTGTTCTAAAGGTTTCTGATGAGTGATGATATTGTCCAGGCATTCGGGTCCAGAGCTTTCAGAAAGGGCAAATCACGATGGATATCGACTTCAAGTGGGGTGGGGATCCGAATATCGTCCTTGCAGTTGAAACTCTAGTCGCTTCACTCCCGATTCAGGTCTGCAAATGTGCCGGCGGCCTGACAAAACGGGCCTACCTTAAATTTTCAGCAGTTTTTTCATGACAATTTAAACCTTGTGAAATTTGACCTTGCAAGTTATGTTCGTGTGATATATATTTGCAAGTAGCACGGCTACACAAGCATTTCAATCGAACTACAAATGGTAGTAAATCAATTCCCATATATATGCTTACTGCTTGTATATACAGTTCAAGAACCTTCAGGTGTTCACCATCATCCGCGTGGTCTTCCAATTGTCTGACGAGATACCATGCATCTCTGCTGTTGTCATTGCTCTTCTGGCAGAGGTACGTACGTACGCTTCTTGCAACCACTCTAAATTTTCTCCCGGTATGAATCCTTGAGCATCACTGGTTCTCTGTATGTGGCCGCGGTAAATGGTTTCTTCTGCATCGCCTTCAGCCAAAACCGAGGATCGACTACATACTGAAGGCGGTCGGGGGAAGCCTGACGGCGATGCCCGGACTTTCAGACATGATCGACGTATGTCCCGAGTTTGCTTCCTCCCCTTCTTGCTGCTTGTATTATCTCTGTGTCGACGGATGATTATTTTTTGGTTACTCCTTTTTTCTGCAGGACACCGTGGCGTCATTGATCACTGACATGCTCCAATGGCCGCATAGAATCGTCGTTCCACTGGGCGTTGACGTCGACATAAGGTTCTGTTGACAGAGCTCGGTCAGGAGTTGAAATTAGGGTGTCTGTCTGTCTGACGGACTGACAACGACATGTTTCCGTGCAGTGATCTGGAGCTGAAGCCGCACGGGAAGGTGACGGTGACGGTGGTGCGCGGGGAGTCGCTCAAGAACAAGGAGTTCATCGGCAAGTCGGACCCCTACGTGGTGCTCTTCATCCGCCCCATGTTCAAGGAGAGGACCCGGGTCATCGACGACAACCTCAACCCGGAGTGGAACGAGACGTTCGAGCTCATCGCCGAGGACAAGGAGACGCAGCACATCATCCTCGAGGTGTTCGACGAGGACAGCCTGAAGCAAGACAAGAGGCTGGGCATCGTCAAGCTGCCCCTCAGCGACCTGGAGGTGGAGACCGTGCAGGAGATCAACCTGCAGCTGCTGTCGTCGCTGGACACCACCAAGGTCAAGGACAAGAAGGACCGGGGCGTGCTCACCGTCAGGGTAAGCCCATGCATGCCTTCTCCTCGACCTGTGCTACGTTTCATAGCGACCGAGGACTCGATGGAGCTGTGTATTCGCAGGTGCTCTACCACCTCTACACCAAGGAGGAGGCGCTGCGGGCGCTGGAGCTGGAGAAGAGGACGGTGGAGGAGCGGCTGAAGACGAGGGAGGCGACGGGGCCCGCCGTCAGCGGGTCCGCGGACGCAGCCAGAGGCGTGGCCGCTCCGTCCACGGTCACCACCAACGTGGCCGGCACGGGCGTCGCGGTGGGCGCTGCCGTGACCGGTTCGGGCGTCCACAAGGACGGGTCGGGCGTTCACAAGGACGGGCCGGGGGTTCACATGGTGGGCACGGGGATCGACGCGGTCGGCAAAAGCATCACCAAGGCCGGCAAGTTCGTCGGCCGGACCGTCACAGGGCCCTTCAGCAGCCAGAGGCGCAGCGCCGCGAGCGTGCCGACGATCGACGAGTGACTGATGCAAACTGTGAGATTAGCTTTACCGTTCCCGTCTCCTGCTACTCTTTAGTTACTTAGTACTACTACCGGTAGTGGTTATCCGTCTCCATTTTTTCACCATCATTTTTTTAATCAGAAACATAGTACTACAGTACATGTTTGTATTTGTGTTTGATTTGATTTCGACACTGTTTGCATCTGCCGTATTTGAGTATCTTCGATTGATATCTGCATCTGGTATGAAATGGAATCAAATCTGGTGTAGTCTAGGGCGTGTTTGGTTGTCTGTATATGGCCTAGCCTAGTCCGCGTGAGAAGAAAGTGATCCGTTTGATTGACCGCGTTACTATGCGACCCGCATGACACGAACCTTAAAGCATACTTGGGCCTGGCTTGCTATAAACGTTCAGATCGGCAGTTTCTAGCGAGCCAGACTGAGATGAGTGCATATGATAGACCACTTGCACAAGGAGAGATGGGAGGGATAGGGGCTTGTATGCAGCATGTGCCTGCTTATCTTCTCCTACCTCTAGTAACCTTCTCTCTAATTTTGTTCTTCCTAGCCTCTTCCAATCTACACAACGGTGTTTCGATTCGAGGTAAGCTCTACATGTAAAAGATGCATCTCGATGCTACGGTTCCATTCAGGCGATCGGTTCATAGTTTCGTTGACCATAAGTTCTTAACTTTGTCTTCCCGGTTTGAAACTATTCTAGACGAATTTTGTCAGATTCGCCGCGCACGATCGATCGTTTAAAATTTCATTTGACCAACAGCCTAATCTCGCAGTTCCACACAACATTCGTGTTGTAAATTTTTGGTTTCGACGATCGTAGCTTCATCTCTCTTTGAATAGCAGCCTACTGCACTGCCGCCGCCATGTCGAGCTCCTCTGTCTTGTGCTTAGAGCCTTCCTATTCGTCCCTTTCGACGCCGGCGCCCTTCCCCTTGATCTCCTTGCCCACGTCCTACTACACTAGAGTCGTTTCCGGTGTCGCGCATCTCGGCCTACTCTCCGTCGTCCTCCTACTGCACTGACGCTGCAATGGCACACACACTGCTTTCTTGTGTCCTCTGCCTCCGTGCACACTGCAGTTCGCCGCCCTGCCGACAGGGTCGATCATCTTGGCCTCCTCTCTCTCGCCCTACTACACTGGAGTCATTTCCGGCGTCGATCATCTCGGCCTCCTCTCTCGCCCATTGCACTGACGATACCATTGCGCGAGCACTGCATTCTCCTTCTCTGTCGACTGTCTTTGCGCGAACATCGCAACTAGTTCACCGACGGTGTCGCTTGCCGTGCCGCCGACGGGGTCGTTCGTCCACGACTCCATGCTCGTCATGTCGGACACGGTGCCACGACCACTATCCACCGAAGTCGCCATTGTCCGGCACACACTGCATTTCTTCTCCCCTCCCTCTAAAAGCTCTTAACCCTGTGTGTTAAGTGCAAGTGCTAGCTCTTAATCATACCTCATGTGTGCAACCAAACACCGTGTTCATGTGCCCCTTGGGCCAGTGCAGGCAACCAAACAAAGTGCACTTGCGTATTACCTAATGGAGGGACCTTAGATGCAGGCAACCAAACAACTTGTAGATGACGCATTTGGGGCTGTTTTTGCTCAACCAGGCTGGGTTGAGATGTGTATGCAATGCAGCTACTGTTCACTACTGCAACCAAACACGCCCCTAGAAACCGTTTCTTGCTTTTGCGCCCAAGACCAACTCGAATGCATGGTCAAAAAATATTTAGTGCCATAAAACAAAAGCTATTAGAAAATATTGGCATCTAACACTCCCTCAATATCCCTTTAGTGGTGCCCAAATTTGCTTTTAGTGCGGTATAAAAGAACAGTCCCTCTGAACTAAAAGAGCGGCGTAAACCCACAACCCGGTGACCTGCCTCCCCTCGCGTCATCCCTATGGATGGCCGGGGGCAAACCTTGGGTGCGCCGCTAGCTACCCCCGCCCTCCCGTCCCTCTCCCCCGCCGTCGCCGTGAGGCGCCGCAGGGCAAAGTCTGACCGGCATAGGTGGCGGCGGGGCTCTGTTTCCTCTCCGCCCGAGATGTGGCTGGTGTGGGACAACTAAACAGGCGGGGGTGGAGGGCTTTCACGGGGCTCTCCGGCGCAGCGGCAAGCGAGCTATCTGGCGGCGTGGTTGGTGTTCTACGGCGGGCTACTCCTTGGTCGTGGCGTAGCAGCTGCGGGGAGGCCTGCTCGAGCGGTTGCGCTCACCTTGTTCCTGGCCCAAGTCCAGCCGGATCCGGTGTAGGGGGGACTGGGGTGCGGCGCGGGAGGTGGCCGATGTGCCGGGTGAGAGCGGGGCGACGTGGTGGTGGTGCACACGGGGTTGTGCGGCGATGTGGACTACTTCTGGCTAGTTGGTGGTTGCCAAGATCCACACCATCCTACGGTGCGGGTGGCGGGCGACTTGGGCTGCGGGCGGTCGCCTTTGCCTCGGCAATCTACTGGTGGGGGTGGCGGCGCAGTTGCAGCGGAGTTGGTGGGGCGTGCTGGTCGGGATCAGTCGAATGAAGGAAATATGACCTAGAGACAATAATAAAGTTGTTATTTATATTTCCTTAGTACATGTGTGAATACATAGACAAACAGGGTGTCCCTAGTATGCCTCTACTTGACTAGCTCGTTAATCAAAGATGGTTAAGTTTCCTAGCCATGGACATGTGTTGTCATTTGATGAACGGGATCACATCATTAGAGAATGATGTGATGGACAAGACCCATCCGTTAGCTTAGCACTATGATCGTTTAGTTTATTGCTATTGCTTTCTTCGTGACTTATACATGTTCCTGTGACTATGAGATTATGCAACTCCCGAATACCGGAGGAACACTTTGTAACGCCCCGAGACCGATGTGCCAGGTGTCGTGGAGTTATTCGATGTTGTTGCGTTGTCTTTGCTTGCGTGTCATGCATTGCATATCATGTCATCATGTGCATTTCATTTGTATACTTGTTCGTCTCATGCATTCGAGCATTTTCCCCGTTGTCCGTTTTGCATTCCGGCGCTTCGTTCTCCTCCGGTGGTCATTTCTAGCTTTCTTTCGTGTGTGGGGATTAAACATTTCCGGATTGGACCGAGACTTGCTAAGCGGCCTTGGTTTACTATCGGTAGACCGCCTGTCAAGTTTCGTATCATTTGGACTTCGTTTGATACTCCAACGGTTAACCGAGGGACCGAAAAGGCCTCGTGTGTGTTGCAGCCCAACACCCCTCCAATTTGGCCCAAAACCCACCAAGATCCTCTCCGAGCGTTCGATCACGATCGTGTGGCCGAAAACCGCACCTCATTTGGACTCTCCTAGCTCCCTCTACCTATATATATGTGCAACCCTCCGAAATTCGCGGTCTAACCCTAGCCTTCCCCTACCTCGCGCACCGGACAAAGATCCCCACCACCCCGGACATGTCCGACCGCCGCCTCCGACGAATCAGACGCCGCCACCTCATCCCGCGCCGCGCCCTCTCTCTTCTCCCCACCGCCGCGGCCCACCGCAGCCCACGGCCGGCCAGCCCGAGCCGCGCCGGGCCCAAGCGCGCCCCACCTCCATCGCGCGCCCCGCGC